ATGCCCAGGAATGATTGCTGGGTTGTATGGTAGCTCTATTTTTAGTTTTTAAGAGACTCCCAGAGTGTTCTCCATAGTGGCTGGACCAGTTTGCATTCCCACCCTCAGTGTTGGAGGGTTCCCTTTTCTCCACACCCTCTCCAGCATTTACTGTTTGTAGACTTTTAGACAGTGGCCATTCTGACCAGTGTCAGGTGATACCTCACTATAGCCTTAGTTGGCATTTCTCTAATAATTGGCGATGTTGTGACCATCTTTTCATGTGCATTTTGGCTATCTCTGTGTCTTCTTTGGATAAATGTCTATTTAGATCTTACGCCCATTTTCTGATTGGGTTGTTTGTTTTTTTTGACATAGAGCTGCATGAGCCGTTTGTATATTTTAGAGATCAATCCCCTGTGGGTTGTAAAGTTTGCAAATATTTTCGCCCGTTCCGTGGCTCATGTTTCATTTTGTTTATGGTTTCCATTCCTGTGCAAAAGCTTTTAAGTTTAATTAGGTCCCATTTGTTTTTTGTTTTTATTTTTATTCCTCTAGGAGGTGAATCCAAAAAAGATACTGCTGTGATTTATGTCAAAGAGTGTTCTGCCTGTGTTTTCCTCTAAGAAGAGTTTTATAGTATCCGGTCTTCCATTTAGGTCATCGACCCATTTTGCGTGTATTTTTGTGTGTGGTGTTAGAGAATGTTCTGGTTTCAGTCTTTTACATGTAGCTGTCCAGTTTTTCCGTGTGCTGTATCTTGAATGACAACCCAGCAGGACCGAGTTGTCCATACCCTGCACTTTCCAAGGAAAGGGCTGATCTCGACCAGCTCCAGGGAGATAACCTTGAAGGTCAAGGTGTTTCCAGCCTGACAGGAGTTCCTTGGGGGCCGCGGGCCACACCCGATTGTTAATGCCGGCAGTGTGGCTCACGGAAGGGGTCTTGGGCCATACTGTATCTGCTTGACCTCTAGAGGGGCTGAAGACTGAACAGCTAAGGTCAGCCACACAGACAGTCCATCCTTACCGCGACTGACCCCCAGCAACACACCTGGAAGGCAAGGCCTGGGCGGGCTGCCCTGGCTGACACCATGTCATACGCGTCATCACACATCATTATCGGGAGAACTAAGAATCGTCCGTTCCGTTCCACTGGGAAAAGGCAGAGGGACACCTTCTCACGGTCTCACCTGGACTCTGTCCCCCGGTTCTTTTACCTTTGCCGATTTTCATCGATATCCTCTAGCTATGATAAACCATAATTGTGAGCGTGACTGCAGAACTGAAGGGGGAGGCCCCATGGAGACAGCCCTCAGGGTTTCAGTCCAGCCCTTTTACGTGTTCTTTCATTTTCTTTTCATTCCCTGTTGAGCCCACCTGTGGAAAAGCTTGCCCCTTTCCACACAACCAGTGCTTTCTCTCATCTCCACGCTCTTCCTAGCACTAGGGTTAGCTGTCCAGGATTTACGAGAGTGTGATCGTGAAATACGAGGGTGAAAAGCAGTAAGGTGCTCAAATCGGTGGGAAAACCAAGATGGTGCTGCCCACAGTGAGCAGGCAGGGGCCCTGGCGTGCAGAAGCTCATCCAATGGGGTGGCCGGCGGGCGTCTGGACTCTTTATAGGAGGCTGCCCTTCAGAGTCCTCACTGAGCGCCGGCAGAGGTGGGGGTGCCACAGAGGTCAGACTGCGGCGGGGGTAGGGGCCGGTTAGAGCGGGTGAGGGCGGCGTGTGTGGGTGGGTGGGTGTGTGTGTGTGTGTGTGTGTGTGTGTGGAGGTGTGGGTGTGGGGGTGTGTGTGGGTGTGGGGAGTGTATGTGTGGGGGGGGTTGTGTGTGAGCCACTCCACTGCGTCCCCCTGCACTAGTCCTCCTGGGTCACCAGCTTTATCTTCTTGCAAGGCGTTGGCCTCAGATGGTTGGCCTCAGCCACAGGCTTGTCACAGCCTTTGCTGGTCTAGGCTGACCCCTTGCAGCTCCGCTGACCCCGCGGGCCACCAGTCAGGAGTCCTGGCTCACCCCATTCAGGCCGGCCCTCTTGGCCCAGCCCCGAGATCAAGTACAATTCCGCATTGTGGACTGACGCCAGTGGCAAGGGTTCTGATGAGTCAGAGATTGAAGGAAAAGTGATAAAACCCAGTGGTGGAGATTCTGCCTCCAGAAGCTGGCCGTGCTGGCCACGTTCTGCTCCGTGAGGCCCCTCCCGTGTCCTCTCCCCCCGGACCCCCGCCTAGGTCCCTCACCCCCACCCCCCACCCTGACTCTCTGCAGCCAGGGAACCAAGGAAGCCTTTCTGGTCTTACAGGTGGAATGCCTTTTCTCTCTTTTTTTTTTTTAATACTTTTCATCCTGTTCCCCCCATCTCTATCTGCATATGAGAGAACTTTGAGAAGAGAACTTTGAGGCCCAGGATTTTGAAACCTAAAGCCATGAGATGACTTATCTTAGTCTCTTCAGGCTGTGATAACAAGATCCCTCAGCATGGGTGGCATTTATTTCTCCCAGTTCTAGAGGATGGAAGTCGAAGGTCAAGGCCAGATGGGTTGCATCATGGTGAGGACCACTTCCTGGTTCATAGCTGGGGCCTCCTTGCTGAGTCCCCACATAGTGGAAGGGGCCAGGGTGAGGGGGAGCTCTGTGGGGTCCCTTTTAGAAGAACACTAATCCCAGGGGGCTTCCCTGGTGGTCCAGTAGTCAAGAATCTGCCTCACAGTGTAGGGGCATGGGTTCAATCCTTGGTCAGAAAGCTAAGATCCCACTGACCTCAGAGCAAATAAGCCTGCACACCATAACTCGAGAGTCTGTGCCCCACAACGGAAGACCCCCCCCCCATGATGTAATGAAGACCCAGTGCAACCAAATGAATAAATAATTTAGAAAAAGAAAGAACACTAATCTCATCCGTGAGGACTCCACCCTTGACCCCTCCCCACAAAGGCCTCACCTCCCCCTAATCACCTTGGGGATTAGGGTTTCAACACAATTTTGTGGGGATAGGAACCTCCACACCACAGCTGTGGCTCTTTCTGTCTCTCTGCATTCCTGCTCTGCAGTCTTTCCTTGAGGCACTCCAGGCAAGGTCGAAGAGACATCAGGCATGAGAAAACGCTAGTGACGGTTTGAAATGGGAGGGAGGGGGGGCTGTACAATGCTGTGGATGTTCCAAATGCCACAGGATAGCACACGTCAGAAAAGTCCACTCTGTGTTATGTGGGCTTCACCCCAGTGAGAAAAAAGAGAAACAGGAGGCCTTAGTCAGTCATTCGGAAACATGATCCACCTGCATTTCAGCGTCACCTCCACGCCAGCTGGATGAGCTGGGCACCTTTAAATCTTCGCTCGCTAATTGGAGCGCGTGCAGACTTGTGGCGGTGGCGACACTGTGTGATTAATTTAGCAAATGTCACGGTCAAGAGGACAAGCTGCAGAGAAGCCCCGGGGCAGGGCGCAGGGTCCGCGGCCGGCTCAGCCACTTCCGCAGGGTGTGACCTCGGCAAGGACTTCAATTTTTTAAATCGTTCATTTAGTATTAACAGCCCAAGAGGAAATATGTGACTATTATTCAATCTTCTGCATTTCACTTTTCATGTCTCATGAACTTTCACCCTGGGAAATGTCAAATCCAGCCACGCAACATCCAAGCAGAAGTCAGAATGTCCCCAAACGTTAGAGATATGAACCACAGCCTTTACACACAGTTCCGGGCGTCAGAGATAATGTAAATGCTCTGTGCTTTGGTGTCTTTGTTGGCGAGTAGGGGGCCCTGTCCCGGCCCGGGCTGTTCTGTTTCTCTCCCTGCTGACCCGCCGCAGCAGCCTCCTGGCCGGCTCGCACATGCCTTCCCCACTCCATCGTTCCAGCTCCCCAGCTTACAACGGTCCACGGCTTCCGTTGTTCTTGAGACGCAGTCCAGAATCCTCACCACAGCCACGGGGGCCCCCACACCAGCTCCGGTCCCTGTCGGCTTGTCCCAGTTTCCCCCGAGGCTGCTCAGACACGCTCACCACTTCTCATGAGCCACCCATGGCCAGTAGCCGCTGGCCTGGCTCTCCTGCAAAATGATGATGAGACTTCCTTACCAGCTGCTGTGAGTGTTAGATGAGATAGACGTTAGGAACACACCCAGGGATAGAAAGTATGCACGAGAAAATCTGCCTTAAAAAAAAATTGGATACGTCACATAATAGATTTCCTAAGAAAGAAAAAAATTGATGTTGAGGAAGAAAATTTACTATACAGAAAGGCTCATAATATATCACAGAGAGAAAAAAAGAGACACCCAAGTATGCTCATGAGTATGCCACTGGTTTTGTCAAGGTGCACATTTTGTAGTTACACACGAATATATAATTTTATAATTATCTATAAATCATGGACAACCTGCAGGTACATATAACTGATGAGTGTATGTGTGGGTGTGTACATATTTTTAAAACCACAATGTCAGTATCAACATATTATTAGTAGTAGTGGTTATCTCTAGGTAGCAGAAAGCATAAAGCCAGATATTTAATCTGTGTGTTTTCTGTGGGTTGTTTTTTGTTTGGTTTTGATTTTTTTTTTCTTGCATTGAGCACAAGTTGTTTGTAATTAGAAGGTGAAGTTGACCATCCTCCTGTGTGATACTGTATTTCTTATCTTGGACAAATAGTACATGATTCTTGAATCTGTGACAGCTACTGAATGTGTTTAATATTTTGAATTATAGATAAACAAAATAATCTGCTTTAAACTGAATAGAAAGCGGTTCCTAGCTTAAGCCATCAGACTGTGAGAAGTAGTTAAAAACCGCTGTATCCTGGCAGATGTCTGCAGGCTGGGAAAGTTAAGTTGTCGCCAAGTCTGATTTGCAGGGAAAGACTCCATTGGGCTTGTTGGTTTGGCGCTTGTTGGTTGGTTTGGATCTGCCCTGGTTCAAGCAAGGCTCGAGGGGGGCAGCTCTCCCTCGACCTGGGGTTCCTGAGCCGCCGGACGCCTGGGGACCTGTCTCTGCGGAGCGGGACGGGAGGCCCTCCTGACCACATCACAGAGACCTGCCTGGAAAGGGACGGTGCCCAGGGGTGGCGGTGACCCAGGAGAGAGGCCAGGTGGGGAACGGGCTGAAGGCCGCGGGCAGCGGGGCACAGGTCCCGGTGGGGGTGGTCGCGGGAGCAGCACTGGTCAGATCCCCGGCCGGACGGACATCCAATCTGAGTGCAGCTGAGGCCGCCAGGGCAGGGCCTGTACGTGGAGACGCAAGGCCCAGGCTGGGCGCTGGGAAAGGCCGGCCTTCTGTGGCCAAGGGCGCGAGGCAGCAGGACACATGAAGGACGTTCTTCCGGGAGAAGCCAGCCGGGGGAGGGGGCGGGTGGTCGGGCGGGAAGGCAGCCATTCCAGCGGCCCTGGAGCCGCCTCCGCAGACGGGACCCGCAGGACTCGAAGCCAAGCTCCAGCACGTCCCTGCGACCCCCACCGAGGATGCACACCGCGCTTGGCCCGGCACGGCTTCTCTGGAGAAACGCCCTTTTCCTCAACACCTTCATTCACGTGCCCCCACGGGTGCATGTGGCAACCACTGGGGAGGCGGGGGCCTGGTCCAGAGCCGCCAGCACAAGATGTAAAACCCGGAGCTTTCCGTTTAAATGGACGAAAGCCGTTCCTCCTCGTCAGTGACCTTCTGCGTGAGTTTGCATACAAAAGCGCTCCTCCAGAGCAGCCGGCCAGGGTGGGGCCCCCGCAAGATGCAGCCGTTTCCTCCAGGACTACGTCACTCTGCACCATCCTCGCCACTGAGACGGGCCCCGCAGGCGAAATCAGTCCCGAGGTCCTGACGCTCCACCACGTCCTCCTCCTCCAGTTTCACCCTTCTCCATCTGCCCCGACGGGTCAGCGCCTCCCACGTTCTCCCGAATACTCCCGGCCCCCTGGGGCCAGCGCTGTGTCCTCTGCGGGGCGGCATCGAATTCCGACTCTGGTCCCACTCAGTATTTCCACTCCTAAGCTGCCTGGCTCCCCCAGGAAGCCAGCCACTCTCAAGCTTTGTCCTCACGACAGCAACCCTCATCTCGCACCAGGTCCCCCGCCCAAGACTCCACAGATAATCCCGGAACGCTTGGTCGTCTGAGTTCCCAGGCTCCATCCTCAGACCATCATTCACTCTGTGTCTCATGGTTTATTCTCCTGGCAGTCTGCGAGCCAACACCAGATGCCAGGGAGATTTTTTTTTTTTTCCCCTCCCAACACTGTGGAGGAAAAACAGATCTTCCAGATGTGGGAGCCCCCTGACAGTTCAGAAAATAACAATGGGCAGGAGTCGCGATTCATCAGAACATGAAGGCATGAGGCTGGCATCCCCACTCAGCCTCGTCACCCGAGCCGTCCCAGAGTGCAGAATGACCCTCGAATCTGGGGACAGAAAACCCTGGGTGTGTCCTTGTCAGAGCTGGGCGCCCCCGGGGGCCACGGGACAGGTGCAGAGGGAGCTGTTGGCGGGACTGTTTACTCAAGGAGTACTTGCACGGCCAACAAGGGCTGTGGTCCGGCGCATCTGAAGAGCCGAGTCCTGTTCCTGCTGCACTTGTAAGGCCCCTGGCGGCCAGGGGTCGGGTGGGCACAGCTAACCCAGCCCGTGATGCTCTCAGTCCTGGCCCCCAGCCTCCCGGGCACCCGCCCCTGCAGGGCCTCTGACCTCTGACCTCCCCGGACTGCCCCGTCTCCGTGATGCCTGCATCTCAAAAGCAGGAAAGGGAGCCGGCAGACAGGTTCCAACCGCCCTCCTCTTCCTCCTGACCCTCCCTGGGGGTCCCTGCGCCCCTCAAGACCCTCATCCAATGCCCCAGGCCCCTCCCCCTGAGGAAACAACCTGCCCCTCTGCCCCGAGATGACTGAGACCCCTCGGGTCTGCACGCCACCGTTCCCCCTGGGCCCCCACCCACACCTGTGCCTCCATCGCCCTCCTTCCACACCGCTTGCCACCGACTAAACATCTAAACCGTCTCCAAAGTGTCCCCTGAACTTGGTCGTCAAGAAGTCAGTCCAGACCACGAGCAGAGCATTCCCCGGGGGGACCGTGGGTGGGGAGGAGGGCATGGAGGCCGGGCTTGCGGAAGTGGCGGCATGTTCTAGATCTGCATTCTGGGCGAGGTTCCATGACTCCGTCCATCCGTGCGAATTCACAGAAGCGCACACCAGGAGAGGACAGATTTCTGTCCGCGTGGTCACAACTCGGTGGCACCGCCTTCAGTTTGAAGGAGTGTGCCGTCCATCATCCCGGGACCCCCGTGGCGGGTCAGTGGTCAGGACCCCTCGCTTGCACGGCAGGGGGCACAGGTTGGACCCTCGGTTGGGGAACCACGATCCCACGTGCCGCGTGCTCAGTGCAGCCAAAAAAAGGCAAGGAGTAAGTCACTCGTGTTCCGCAGCGAGCACTTTCCCCTCCTCAAACGACTCCTGCGCCTTCCAGCCATCACATCGCAGATGCCACTCCTGTAGAAGACAAGCATAAATAGTTCCCTCCCAGCCCATTTTGCACGTTCTCTGCTCACTGTCTCTGCTCAGTTTTCTCCTCATTTTCCCCTCAGCATAGATTCTCCTCGCTTCCCTTAATAAGCTCCGTTCTATAATTAGCCCGCTCTGATAATTCTTTTATCATGTGTGTGTTTTATTTCTGAAATATTCACTGCCGTGTGCTGTCCCATCACGCCGTAATTCCCAATTCCCTGACCACCATTTTTACAGTCTTACAGTCTTAATAATGTTTTCTATTTCGGTCGTGCCTTTTTTTTTCTTTCTTTTTGTCTGACGAACACAAAAGTACTCTGCAGGCATTTTATGTCCCCGGGAGGTAGTTAGGGGAGAGAAAGAGATTTTGCAGATGGGAAAATACAGGCGCAGAACGTTGTGTGGGGCGCTGGTCAGGAACATGGTGTTGAGTGTTAGCCGAAGCTCGGCTCAACTTCGCAGCCCAGAAAAGGAGGGGTCCAGTCACCCCAGCTCCTCTGCCCGCTGCAGGCCTGGGAGACTCTAGAGTCAGCCCGTTCAGCTTCTGGCTGGGGACCAGGCCTGGGCCTCTCTCTCCACTGCGTGCTTTCGTGCTTAGTCGTGTCCGACTCTCTGCAACCTCAGGAACTGCAACCCATCAGGCTCCTCTGTCCATGGGATTCTCCAGGCAAGAATACTGGAGTGGGTTGCCATTCCCTTCTCCAGGGGATCTTCCCAGCCCAGGGATCAAACCCAGGTCTCCTGCATTGCAGGCAGATTCCTTACTGAGCCACCAGGGAAGCCCTCTTTACAGGGTGGAGCACAAAATCACGTCCCCTTCACCCCGCTCCCCCTCACTGAACACAAGAGACTCCGCTGAGGCTTAGGGTGGAAAGTGACCAAAGATGGAAGTGTTATGAGCACGCAGTGCTTCCCCAGAGACAAGTACCGGGGTTTCTCCAAACCCAGAGGCTGCCTCCGTAAGTCCCCTGACAGCAGTTTTGTGAGCATACAGTCCCCCTACCCCTGCCCGGGGGCTGGTCTGATGCTAAGACCCACCTTCAGGCATTGTTCACCCAGCCACTACCCCCTCAATAGCTTGGTGGATCCAAGCCTTTCTCTCAACAAGCACAAGTCTTCTGGGTTGTTGAACTGTCCCAAGTTTTCCTCCTTTCTGGAAATACCGGGTTGGCCAAAAAGTTTGTTTGAATTTCTGTAACATCGTACAGAAAAACACAAAAGAGGTTTTTGGCCAACCCACTACGTCATTCCAACACACAGTCGGCACCTAACAGGGTCAGGCTTTATTGCAAGGTGGGGCGCATCGGGTCAGACCACACACACACAGCTCGAGGGCTTTGCAGCAGACCCGACCACCTGGAACTCGTCGTGGTGGCGCTAACAAGCTCCCTAACCACCATGCTGTTAGCTCCTGTCTGGGGCGGACACTTCGCACCTGGCGGTTGTTATGGATGCAGGTCCAGTGTCACTCCAAGAATAAGCTGATGAGCTGAGATTTGGACCACAGACCATACTCCTTCTCCGCCTTTCCTTGGCGTCATAGACACGGGACCTTGCTGGGATTGGCAGGGGAGCCTTCCGAGCCTCTGGACTCCCGAGTGTCACCACCTCACTCCAGTCTTGCACAGGTTGTGTTCTCCAAAAGTGTCCATGGCCTCATCTCCCATCCCAGATGCTCTTCTTAAAACATCAGCTTGACATCCCTCCCCTGGGGTGATGGGGAGCATGTCCTTCCCCGTGAACCTGGGCAGGTTTGGCAGACTAGGCTTATTTACTCATTCATTTTGTTGTTGTTCAGTCACTAAGCCATGTACAACTCTTTGCAACCCCATGGACTGCAGCACACCAGGCTTCCCTGTCCATCACCAACTCCCGGAGTTTGCTCAAACTCATGTCCATTGAGCCGGTGATGCTATCTAACCATCTCATCCTTTGTGTCCCCTTTCTCTCCTGCCTTCAATCTTTCCCAGCATCAGGGTTTTTTCCAATGAGTCAGCTCTTCACATCAGGTAGTCAAAATACTGGAGCTTCAACATCAGTCCTTCTAATGAATCAGTTCAGTTCAGTCCAGTCACATCTGACTTTTCAACCCCATGGACTGTAGCACCAGGCTTCCCTGTCCATCACCAACTCCCAGAGCTTGCTCAGACTCATGTCCACCGAGTCAGTGATGCCATCCAACCATCTCACCCTCTGTCGTCCCCTTCTCTTCCTGCTTTCAGTCTTTCCCAGCATCAGGGTCTTTCTCAGTGAGTGAGCTCTTCGCATCAGGTGGCCAAAGTATTGGAGTTTTAGCTTCATCATCAGTCCTTCCAATGAATATTCAGGGTTGATTTCCTTTAGGATGGACTGGTTGGATCTCTTTGCTGTCCAAGGGACTCTCAAGAGTCTTCTCCAACGCCACAGTTCAAAAACATCAATTCTTTGGCGCTCAGCTTTCTGTGTGGTCCAGCTCTCACATCCGGACACGACCCCTGGAGAGACCACAGCTTTGACCAGACAGACCTTTGTTGACAGTGTCTCTGCTTTATAATATGCTGTCTAGGTTGGTCATAACTTTCCTTCCAAGGAGTAAGCGTCTTTTAATTTCATGGCTGCAGTCTCCATCTGCAGTGATTTTGGAGCTCAAAAATATATTCTCTCACCGTCTCCACTGTTTCCCCATCCCCATCTATTTGCCATGAAGTGATGGAACCGGATGCCATGATCTTAGTTTTCTGAATGTTGAGTTTTAAGCCAGCTTTTCACTCTCCTCTTTCACTTTCATCAAGAGGCTCTTTAGTTCTTCACTTTCTGCCGTAAGGGTGGTGTCATCTGCATATCCGAGGTTATTGGTATTTCTCCCGGCAATCTTGATTCTAGCTTGTGCTTCATCCAGTCCGACATTTCGCATGATGTACTCTGCGTGTAAGTTAAATAAGCAGGGTGACATTCAGGGCTAATTCCCTTCAGGATTGACTCCCTGCTGTCCGTGGGACTCCCAAGAGTCTTCAGCGTGAGCACCACCTGTGCCTCACTCAGATTTTAAACACTTAAGACTCTGCTTTAGGGACGACCCTAGTGGTCCAGTGACTAAGACTCTGCATTCCCAGTGCAGGGGGCGCGGGTTCCATCCTTGGTCAGGGAGCTGGATCCCAGCTGCCACAACTAAGATCCCGTGTGCCGATACTGAGACCTGGTGCAGCCAAATTAAAACAGAAAACTAAAAACACTTCTTAAAGACTCTGCTTCTCCATTTTAGGAGGGAGATTCCTCCTGTTTCGTTTAGCAGAGAAATTCCCTGGTTTGCTTTGAACCGGAGGCAGCGCCCAAGGTGATGTCCCCAAAAGGTGCCAGGAGGACCCAGGAGGGCATCGGCGCCCACTCCATCCGCTCCCTGTGGCCTGCGCTTGTGGGGACTCCGGGGCAGGAAGGAGCCATCCCGAGTTAAAGCGCCCACCCCACCCCCCGCCCCATTGTGCCAGGACCAGGGCCCTCTCGAATCCGTACGTAAAAAGCCACACCTCTTCACCACAATCCACAGCACACACTTGCTTTCGTGAAGCCTCTGGAATATGCCTCAGG